AAATGCCCCGACTACCCCAGCTATCTCATGGCAACAATACAAGGGGGAGGAGAAGAGGACTAGGGGAGGATATATTACAATAACATCATTATACATCCACAAAACTTATCTTAACATACACACAGTATTAATCCTTTAATTATGAGAGCCAACCATTACAGTACTCATATATAACAATATCATTAGCATATGTGACATGCAAGCGGAGTGTGCTCTGGTGGTTGCACTGAGGAAGGCTCTTGAGTCTTCCTCTGGGGTCGTTCCAATGAAGGTGGGCAGTCTTCCTCATTTTGCATTTTTCACCTTTCTTTCTGAAGCACGTGCAGTCCTTTGCTAGCTGGTTCAGCATTTTCTGTTGACAACAGGTTTTGTTCCTCTTAACAAGGTGCACTCTGTTTCTCTTATTTGGATAGGCTAAGGTGCTTCCTACTTCTTAGGCTTGTGGTTAATATTTGCTGACTCTTAATAGTTATGTAAGCATAATAATAGTTAATAGTAATGTAAGCATGAGTTAACAATTGATTAACTTTCTTTCAGTTTCAGTGAGATTCAGAAAGGCTGCAATGTGACTGAGGGAACCTTGCCATAGTCTTTGGTTTGGCATGGTGGACATCAGAAGAAAGGTTTGACCCTGTCTTTTTCTGCTGCTATCCCTGTGAAGTGCTTGGGTGGACATTTCCGGGGCCGTGCTAGCTGCTGCCTTGAGCCAGAGCTTGGTGTGATGGCACTAGAGGGACAGAGCAGCCATGTCCCTATGGAGTGCAGGGAGCTGGGAGTGGCACAGTGTTGAACCTCGTGTGTGGGAGGCATCGTGCAGGTTTGTGCCAGCCAGGTGACCAAGTGATCACCATCAGTCCACATGGAGGCTTGTCAAAAACTGCATAATGTGGTGTTACAGCACCAGCCTCCCAGTAAGATTTTTCAGGAGGTCAGGTTTGGAGGCACTGTAACAATGACGTGGCACTTCACTGAGGAGCAATGTGGCTGCACTGCTCAGCCCAGCAAGCTGCTGCAGAAAGCTGGGACTAGGCTGCACAGAGCCTGTCCAGCATAAGACTGGCTCTGTTGGCCACCCCTACTCTCTGGACCAATACTGTGCAGAGGTGGCAGACTGTGGCTCTGGGCCCTGCAGCCTCAGCAGATGCTGTGGTCAGTGCTCCAAGGTGCACCAAATCTGCCAGTGGTGCTTGGTTGCAGACTGCTGCCAGGACCTACAGCATCATGCTGTAGGCAGGCGTGGGCACACATTAAAGGGACCACCTGGCAGCTGTTCAGCCTGAGGAGGGTATCAGTGAGTGCTGGTGAGGAGCTCTGCCCCCCAGAAATAAAACTTTCATCGTTGACTTTTCTTAACCTAAGCAGTCCGTGCACTTCTGGCAAGTGTCCATTGCTTTGAATTTACTCTGAAAGTAATGCCTCCTGTGCTGTTTGGGAGTAAGATACGGTTGGGCCATACATGAGAGATTCAGTGCACTTTGGCTGTTGTGTTTTGCAGGAGAATGGCAGATCCATCTCTGAGTAAGGTTCAGAAATACCAAAAGCTAGGAGTGATTTTTGTAAGCCAGAAAATGGGAACTTGCCTGTAGGCAGGAGTTGGTGGGCTGGTGGTGACAGAGGGGCTGTCCCTGCCAGGAGTGGCTCTTTGGGCAGAGCAGCCAGTAAGCATCATGTTATGCAGGCAGAAGCAAGGCCAGAATCTTCCTGCACATGTTCCCTTACCAGTGTGGCAGGACATCCCCCCTACCACAGAAGAGCTTATCTGTAGCTGGTGTGTCAGTTCCAGATACTCTCCCTTCCACGTTAAGTGATGAGATAACCCAGGCCAGCTCTCTGACTTGTAAGTTGTCACTAGCATATGAGTTACTTGTCTCTCTGGCGCCAATAAACAACTGGGCATGAGAACAGGTTTGGGGAGATAAGCTAGAAATTCCTGACTGAAAGACACCACTTTTACAACTATAAAAGCTACACAAATTTTCGTGGAGGTAGAAGCCTCCTACCTACCCCCGGGAACATGCAGGGATTTCTTCCTGGAGTTTGGATGCAAATTCCATGGTTACTTTCCTGGCAACTGAGAGGAAGAATTTCATGTGTACTCCATCATCTATTTGGTTGTAAATTACATTGACTCTTAATCTATACTATTTCTTCGGTAGCCATAATGTAGCTACCTTTTATCATGCACTGTATTTTATCTACTAGTAGTTCTTTTATTTCTGTGTAGTAAGTAGTCTATTCAAAGTCTCATCAGTGTCCTTCACAGACAAAATTTTAACATTGAAGGTTTCTGTACTAAGAGGAGAAACTAGAGGTGAGCAGAGAAAGGGGATTTAGCACTTTTAGCTAGTTTAAAGCTGAGTATGTCAGTGCCTGCACATACATCTCCACAGAGGACTCTCTGGTGGTACCTTGGGCCTCTCAGAAGCTACTTCTGGAAGACAGCATCAGCAACTGATGGGTGAGATACAGCTGTATGCTCTTGTACCTTGCTTCTGCTCCTGGTGAGGGCATGTGAATCTGATTGGGAGTAGGAGAAAAGCAAGACAGCTCCTGGAGAGGGAAGAGTGACTATGGGGCACTTCTCTGCTCAGACACACTTTCTTGTGTAACTGAAAAGAAGTAAACTGAGACAGGACCTAGGAAGTGGGGAGATGCAAACCCTCAGGTTTATTTCTTAGCACACTGTTGACTTGCTGTGGTGGGCTGAGTGACCTCCTCACTTTTCTCACCCACAAGGTTTGGATTCCATCTTGTAGGGCTGGAGCTGCCCCTCCTACGTATCTGTGCAATATATAGTGAAATAAACCCAGGACCATTATGTTATGAATGACGTTCTATTTGTCCAGTTTATCAATAAGATTAAATTTAGTAGTAAAATTTAAATAGTAACAAAATGAATACAATCAAAGTATTAGATACATGTATTTGAGAATATACAAAATTTGGCAGTAAGTAATTTAGTATAATTGAGGTTCGTATAAAGCATAAACAAAACCGACTGGGGAGGGCTTCCCCCAACCAGGGGTACGAGGAGGGACTTGCCCCTCCTCACGTACCAAAGCATCAAGGCTAACAATCCCACTTGTTATTATTATTATTGTTATTGTTATTATATGCTAATACATGTTAATACAGAATTTTCTGGAAAGCTCGTCCTAGTTTCTGTTCCTAAAGTCTACGTCACTATGTTGTGTTGTGTATGCTCCACTAGTAGGGATCTCTCATCCTTTTGAGGGCCTTATTTCCAATGAAGGCTCATCGTCTTCATCAGTGACCGAGGTGTGACCTGCAGGTAGCACAGATGCACTGTGTGACTGAGCAGATGTTTTGCATAATAAGACTGTAATTAAGTCCCATGCCTGGAATCATCCCATTTTGGCCCATTTCAAGGTTGAAACTTTCTATTTCTGGATGCTGCTTATCAAACCTACGTTCTTCTACTACTCCTAACATCTGGAGAATTCCATCTGCTTTGCCTCACTCATCTCCTTTTTGCTTTGTAACAATTATTTTCTATTGATTTGAGTACAATTTTGCTAATATAGTTACAATTTAGTTAGCACAAATCACATTTATCACAATTAGGAACATAACATGAAGAAATACTCTATTTCCATTGTCTCTGTTGATCCCTGCAGTGAAGAGTTAGCACTCGGTTCTCCTGTGTCAGCTGTGGTGAGGAGTCCAGCTGCACGAGCTGTGACAGCGACAGCTGGGCTGTGAGCTGCACAAGATAATTTCGCCATAACAGACACTTATTTGACCAGCCTAACTCGTTACAGAATAAAGAGTAAACAAGTCCCCAGGAAAGAAAATGAAAGGCTGGATTCAAATTCAAACAACGGGGACCCCAGCCAATCCCTTTGAACCAGGAATGCACCTGTATCATTGGCCAGTGAGCTGGGCAGAGTTAATACCCTTATGCAATCACATGTGTAAGAGCAGGAAATTCGAAGCCCCTATAGAAGGGGACACACGTCAATAAAATCCAGCTGTAGCTGTATGAATTCCGTGTGTCTACATGTCACATTCCCATCTCCAACATCAGCGACAGTGAGTGCAGGAAGGAGACCCAGTTCTGCTAACAGTCAAATACAATACGTGAGCTGGATGAACTGTGTCCACCCACCAGCACATAGCCCACCCTCAAACGCTACTGGAAACAAGATGAAATGGAAGGTACTGGCGCTGTACATGATGACCACATGTGCAAGGCTTGACTTGGAACTGGTGTACTGGCTTGTGTACCACACGTGCTGCTGAACAGACTGTTTTGTGTACCACTCTTGGTCCACAGCAGCTAATGAGAAACATGCCCTGGAAGAGTGGCTAAAGCTGGCTCTGGTCCCAGCTGCAGCTGTGTCCTGGTGAGAAGTGCTGAGCAACTCTGCTGTGGTTCCAGGAGCTGAGGTCCTGGAATATTTGGGGAAGGAAGGGGGAAGCTGCTAAACAGTGCTGACAGCCCTGTGCTGGAAGCTCAGTCTTTTTCATGCTGTTCTACGTTGTGGCTCCATCACAGCCTGCAGGGAGAGTGGGACAGGTCAGGAATTCAGTGCCCTTCAGATGGCTCTTGTGTCCAGCAGAAAGAGGTTGCATGCATGTTGGAGTCTTCATATACATGGATTAGACTGGGAATTACCAGTAATTACCATCTAGAGTAATAATATCAGAGAGCTTTACTGAAGTGCACTGGCTCCACTCATCACTTTAAATCTTTAAATCAAGGTAATGCACTTTTCAGAAAAAGGTGCTTGGGCTCAGTCAGCATCAGTGGGGCTGCTGGAGGTAGTCAGGGTGAGAGTAAGCACCAAGGTCTAGTGCTTACTGGAGCTCAAACCAGCACCAAAAATCTGGCTTCAAAAATCCTGCTCTAGGAGGAAGGCACAACCTGTAATATCCTTCCTGGTTCATTTTTGTCCCCCAAACAATTATTATGTTTTGTGTCTTCTCTTGGTTGGTGAGTGGCACCTCTTGGAACTGTCAGAGATCCTGTCACCATGTTAAACTGGCCTGAACTTCATTTCCGTTCGCTTATAGGAGTAGTGGTATTCTTTGCCTGTCTTCCAGTTGATGCCATCAGCGTAGCTCCCATGTGCACCCATCCAGTACATCCCATTCAGGTTGGAGTAATGACAGTCATTGTACCACCATGCTCCCTTGTATTCTGTGGCACAGTTAAAGGAGCTCATGTCATTGTCTTGATCTGTTGTTGAAAATGGCATGTCCCTGTGGTACGATAAAGAGTCTCCTGCAGAGAGCACACAGTCACAGTTACTGCAGTAAGGTTCACAAATGGTGATCACAAACTGATGTGCAGTCCTGCTGGGCATCAGTGGCCCTTGCCAGGTGCAAGGCAGGTTATATAAATCCTGCTTCTCTCTTGCCCAGGTTGCCCAGGTTTCCTCCTTGTCTTGGACAAAAGAAGTATCTTGAGCTGTGCTAAAATACATGGAGAATTTATCCATGCCTGTGAATCAAATGGGCCAGATTCTCTTCACAGGTACACAGGTGTCACTTCTCCTGCAATGCTCAGGTTCTCTGCAGCTACACTGAGGTCTGAATTACCAGACAGGGTTGCAACATTCAAAGCCACATAAACCCAGGTGGCTTTGTACACTGCAAAAACACCTGGCTCTCTCAGGTGTTGGTTTCACTCATTCCTGAATGAGGGATATTAAATTTTGAAGAAGATTAGTTTAGTTTTTAAAAAAACCCAAAACATCAGTTTTCAAGAAGATGGAGTGCTGATGCTGCAAGTGTTGAACAGCACCCCAGCCCTGGAAATGCCAAACCTTGTGGGCAAATGTCTTCTGCCATTGTAACCAAAAGCAGAACTTGACCTGGGTGCTGCAGAGCTGTTGGGAAGGTCAGTTGGATTGGGTGCTGCTCAGGACCAGGCTCATTTGCTGTTAAACCATAGGGCTGGGCATGTAGGTAATGTTCTGAGTCAATTTCTTTGGGTGATGGGTGTCCCCCTCCATCCCTGTACCCAGAAATCACTCAGTACCTGAGGTACCATGGCCAGTTTTAAAAAAATTGACCCAAAATGTAGCTGATACAAGGAGTGTGCATGATACATCTCTGCATAGAAGCTGAACACTTCTGAAATGCTCTAGGAAACAAACTTTCCCAGTTTGAGGCAGCTGCCTCAAACTTACCAGCATTTCCACCAAGGAAGTCTCCTAGAACTAGTCTGTATTTCTCTGACTCTCCTAAAACTCTGAATGAAGCATAGTTGGCAAAATAGTAGTTGTTCTCAAAGTCTCTCAGGTCAACACGGAGTTCACAGGGTCCTAGAAGAGAAGATGGACAGCAATGGTGCAGGGCGGGTGGTGGGTATGACGCTGAATTTCAGGGTGGAGGGTTTAAAGAGATGTGAGCTAACTTGAGAGGAGCTGCCACTACTTGAGAGATTCTTATTTATTTAAAATTCCTGCAGAGCCTCCTATATCTTTGATAGTTTTCTAGGGAAGCACCTTTTCAGATATTATATTGGGTGGTCATGAGCAGGAGTCCTGCACATAGCTGTAATAAGGCAGTGTGTGGACCAGCTGATGCCATTACAGCCAGTCCAAGTAGGAAGATGTGTTGGCCTGTCTCTAGGATAGATCATGCAGCCAGCTCATTCTCTTCCCTGACTTCTAGTTTTGCTGGTTTTTAGAATGCAATTTCCTGTATGCAATGGGCTGCAAGAGCCTGCATCCTGTTTGGGATTAACGGTGGGGGCCTCAGATGAATAGGAGAAGCTCAGAGGTCTACAATGACCCAATATGGTACAGGGGTTGGACTCTCATGGCCCCAGCCCAGGACGGAGGCAGACCTTACCCAGAGAGGTGAGGAAATGGATGTTGTCATTCCCCATCCAGAACTCCGTTAGCTGGTTGCCAAAGCCTCGTTTGTATGAATCCCAATCTCGCAAGAAGTTCACTGACCCATCCCAGCGCCTCTGAAAAACCTGAAACAGACTCTCAGCCCCACCAGCCCATCCCTCATTCAAAAGCATCCACAGTACCTGGGGGACGTGCCCACCATAGTAAATGCTTCCTCTGCATCAGAACAGTCCTGTAGTGTCTGGAGAGCAAACCCCACAAGAATCCCTTGCTCAGGGATCTCCTCCATGTGCCCTTGGAAATGAGGAGGAAACGACTTGCTGATTTAAGCAGGGAGTGGGTCTGTGGCACTCAGCCTGCTTCCAGAGACAAGTCTTGGGTGAATCCCCTGCGTCCAGAGGGATTCACACTGGCTTGCAGATGTGAACCTCAGCTGTGTGTTTCTATTTTTGAGCCATGCTTTGCAGCCTTAACAAGAATCATTTAACAAGAATCAGTGTAAACCTCCCTCTCCTCATGCTACTCACAATCCATCCCCCACCATCAGTGTCCATGTCACAGAAGACGGTGGTGGCATTGCAGTCTTGGGGGTAGATTTTGTACCAGCCACTCAAAATCTTCCCTTTGGCCAGCAGTTCTTGGCAGTTCCTGGGTTCTGAGCAAATCAGAGATCAAGTGTAAAGAGTTATAATGTGTTTACTTATCCAGGAAGTACTTCAGCCTTGAGCCTTTGAGCTCTTCAGCACCCAGCTGGCTCATTGTACTGCAGGATCCTAATGTAGAGCTGCTGGGAACCAAACCCTGCCGTGGCTTCTGAGCCCATATGTTGCAGGGGACATGGGCACCTTCTAATGAAGAAATGGTGTAAGGTTCTGAGACTCCTCTTATCTGCTACAACTTTCAGGGGTCTGGATGATGGAGCTGCTCTAAAAAGGATGACAAACTCATGATCCAGGAATTTGTCCCAGCTCCAGAATATATGCAGGGCACAGGGAGTGTGTGGGTAGTTGACAACAAAGGAGTTAGTGACACAGAGATACAGCTCCTTGTGATGCAGTTAACAGTGTTCAGCGCATTCTCTATGGATAGAATCATAGAATCACCCACAGTTTGAGTTGGAAGGAGCCTTAAAGCTCATCTCATTCCACCCCTTGCCTTGGGCAGGGACACCTTCTACTAGACCAGGTTGCTCCAAGCCCCATCCAAACCTGGCCTTAGACACTTCCAGGGATGGGCAGCTGCAGCTTCTCTGGCCAACCTGTGCCAGAGTCTTAACACCTTCTGAGTAAAGAATCATCTCCTAATACATAATGTAAATCTCTCCTCTTTTAGCTGTAAGTTGTTCCGCAGTGTCCTGTCACTGCCCATGTAAAAAAATCACTCTCCAGCTTTTTTCTAAGTACCCTCTAAGTACTGGAAGGCCACACTGAGATCTCCCCAAGACACAACATTTTTGAAGATGTCCATTCATATATACATATATATACATTTTATGTATACTTTTTTCCCTCCCCAAAACCATACCTGCTGACAGAAGTTCAGATTCACAGGTGACTGATTGGTCCTTATCAGACATCCCAGCCCACAGCTGCATTAGTAGCTGTTATAGGGAAAGCCTGGGGAGATGATTGAAGATGGTGGTGCAAGTGTCCCAGTGTGCTGTGTGTGATACATTGATACACAGCTGTACCAGGCTGTCTTGTGACCTTCCTAGCAGGGAGATGGTCCTGGACTTGGCCTTTTCCTTCCTATTAGTCAAATCTTTTACATGCCCCGAGAAGTGTCTAGGGCAGCAAGGGATCAATTCAGTGACATCCCAATCAATCTGATCTGTCTGAGCCTTTGAATGTTATTGTGGCCCTACAGCACCCAGTTGTAGCCACAGCAGGTTGTAGCCCTCCTTGAACTTTAGCTCATGGAGACAGATGGGTCAACTGAAAATTGTTTCTTTTATTTTTCTTCTTTTCTTCGAAAGAATAAGTTAATCTGAGCACTATCACACACACGAACTCCACAAGTACTAAAGGTGTCACTGGAAGTGCATGCGTATAACTGCCTTTGAAATAGCCACATGTCCATACAGCTGGGTGTAGTAGTTTCATCTTAGAAATCAGAAACCAAGTCTCTGAAAAACTCAGACAGACCTCCTCCAAGACACACAGAGGACAGGACATCTAAGTAGTGCTCAGAGGATATAACTTTCCCAGCATGGCTGGAATACAGAGTAGACTCACAGAAGCTTCATGTATCTGTGAGAAGCAAAGATAACAGTGATAGTACTCTATCCTTCAGTGTCACTCTGAACTTGTCCTATGCTGTCCTGACCTCTGGTGCAGGTAGTCCACCACCATCCACTCTGCAAAGCTGACCAGTGTCGTGAAGACCTAGGATGAAACTCACCCCATATTTCTGGAAATCCAGGCTCTCCTTTTGTTCCTGTTGGACAAACAACACCATCAATTGTTCTCCACCTTCCACACCCAGCACTCCCCCTCCCCAGTACTTGAGATTTGCCAATACAAATCCTGCTGAAGCTGGAGAGCTGTGATGTTAGAGGAAATGCTTGGCTCATCTGCACCAAGCAAAAAGGCATAAAGAAAGTAGGCAGGAAGAGTCACTTAATATAAGCTGTCCTGGCTGTTACCAGGCCCACCAGAGAAGACCCACTAGCCTATCTGCACAGACCCAGGAAAGCACAGAGAGGCAGGTGGGTAGGTAGGTAGTCAAGTCACAAACCCCTGTTACACCCACCTGCTTCAGACACTGGGAAGAGCTCTCCAGGAGCTGCATGGGGTGGCCGCTGGGGAGTGCACTGTATATATATGCACAATGAGCAGGAGCCTTGCCTCTCTTGGCCTCTTGGACCTGGCATGATCTATTTCCTGCTGGCATCTGGTTTAGGGCTTAGAGGTCCAAATGGTGAGACTGACACAAGACATGTCTCTGTTTGGACCTAGCTGCTGTGCCCTGCTGCTGCCCAGCTCATGGAGCTGAGTACCAACAGTTGGTGCCAGTGAGTCCCATTGGGCTGGGACATGTGGGATAGGAGTGGGTGAGTGTGGGAAGGAGGAAGAAATGCACCTTGAAAAGGCAGAGAGACAAGTCCCATCAGGGGAATGGCTGCTGCTGGCACAGGGCTTAAGCCAGTGTTTTGGGAGCAGCAACTGGAACCATCTGCCAGACCAGCTGTGTTGGACTCACTGATTGCCAGCCAAATTTCAGAGAGGGAAGCCACAGTACAGATGGTGCTCAGTGGTGGGTGCCTGTGACCCTCACATGCAGGATGATGGCACAAGGGAAAAAACCCCGTGTTTCCCTAATACCTTATTGCTAGTGCTGGTAGAGACATGATCCTCTGGCACTAGCAGGAACTGGATTTCATTTGAGCCTCTGCATTTTGCCATAGCATGGAAATATTAAGACCTCTGCCCAAATCTGGCTGGTCCCTCAGCCCTGTGGCTTCTGCAGCTGATGGTACCAGGCAGCAGCACCAGCTGCCTGAGCTGAGGGCAGCACCTATTGCTGAACATCTGGTTTGGGAGCAGAATTATCCACCGCACCTGGGCCAGGGCAGAGCCTGTAATGAGGTATAACTGTCACCAAACAGCCTCATCCAGTGCTGGATAACTGCTCCCATCTGGTGTGTTGTACCAGAACAGCACAGGGTGGAAGTTTACAAAGTAGTTCATATGATAAATTCAGCACAGCATGGTTTACCTTTCTGTCCTGGGAAGCCAGGCTCTCCAGCTGCTCCTGCAAAACACAAGAGGAAAATTCTCATCTCAGACTATCCAATGCAGATGAATTACTGTGCCTCCACAAATGGCTGCTCCAGCCTCTCCATATGTCCCAAATGTACAGGAGAGGCTGTCAAGCGGTGCAAAGCTACAGTGCTCAGCTGAGTGTCCCAGGTGGTGCTGCTGCCTCAGCCTGGCTGCTCTCTTGATCAGCAGTATCTCTCAGGAACAGCAGGATACAGAGGAGGGAACTGCTGCTCCATCTCTTGGAATGTATGGGGGATTCACAGTTCCAATTCAGTGACGTTTTATGGGGGCTTTCTGTTTACAGTCAGTCTCACAAGTGTGAGATTTTGATCAATAAGGTTTGTCATGGATTTTTAGTGGGTTTGTCCATCTCCTGTTGGCATTTCAGTTCAAGTCTTGGGTGCTTTTGGCCAGGAAATAACTTCATATTTGTCATGTAAAAGGATGACTTCCCTGCTAGTCTGGGCACTGGCTTAGGCCTGCTGCTCAGTTCCGACAGTTCCCTTGTGCTGGCAGCTGGATTCTTTAAAGAGACATTTTTCCAGTATTTGCAGCACATATCCTGCTGAAGGTCCTAAGCAAGCCTGGGTGGTGAAAGCCAGTTTCTCAATATACATCATCCTCTTAAGGGGTTCATCCCATTACAAAGGAAACCTCCTCCTGTGCCATTGTTTGATCCTTTTTTTGTGGTAAAGTGGGCACTTCGCACAGCACCAGTCAAAGGCTGGAGGCTGCTGAAAGAGCAAGACTTACAAGATGGATCCTGGGCATTGTGTGACTAACACCATCAGTATTATTTACCTAAAAATTGATGACAAAGATGCTAATGCTAGCTGTTTATAACCTTATGTAGCTATCTGCAAGAAATGTATAATTTTAAGAAACTTTTCCAACTGACATGAATAGAGGCTTGTTTGTGAAAACCCTCCCAGCCGAGGCCTGGACTCTGACCAACTGCTGGCCCTGGCTGAGCAGGAAGCATGCCATCAGATCCAGGTGTTTCTGTGCTAAAAATATAACCAAGTCACTTGGACTTGCTGATTTGGCCTATAAATAGTGGCCTCCCTTTCAGGGTGAATCCAGAGACCTCAGCTATGGGTGGACACACCATGTAGGATTTTCCCAATTGCCAGGAAAGGTTCTCCAGTTCCTCACTGTGAAGGGGGCCCCCAGCAACTTTGAACTCCGGGTGATGGTAAAGTATTTAGGCAATTGGTGATGTATCTTTCTCCATCACTATCCTGCCTCTCCTATAATAATGATTAGGTACATTACATTGCTAATTTTTGCTTGTTGCCAAAGCCAAGCATGTAGTTTTATTGAACATATCAATTCACTTTTGTGTTGCCTTTATATTCAAAGTAAAATAAGACCATTCTTTCCATTGGTGTCTGTGTTCTTTAAATTGCCCCTGTCAATTGGCAGAACAAGCACTCAGCATAGTGCCTCTGCATCAGGCCTCTGGGTTGAAGCTCCACAGAGAGCTCCAAAGCTCCTCAGAGCTGGGGGGCATTTGGGCATACTTGTGCTGGAGGCAGGTTAGGGTAGGAGTGGGGAATGGGGAGAGGTCTGATTTTAGGGTCAGTGGGAAATTTTGAGAAGAGTAGTATCTTCTTCTGTGTTGTGGTCCCACTCAAGGACACTGTTTCTAGTGCTCACTCCAGGCAAGACCCATACCCTCAAATCAGGCTTTTCTTATGCTACTTCAGCACCGTTTTTTAGCCTATGGCCAGTCCTGCAATTCATCTCTGTAGACCCAGTCTCCTAATGCATGTCTCGAGCTTGGGGGTATTTACAGATTAGAGCTGCATATGTTCACACATTACCTTTTGCACCAGGTGGTCCTGCTTTCCCAGGGAATCCCTGGTCTCCCATTTCTCCTGCAAAGAGATTTATTTTTTATGTGCACGTTACAAATTGACCAGAGGGGGGAGTCACAGAAGCCTGGACAACTGGGCCTTGGCTTTCACAGAAACAGGGAGCTCAGTTAATCAGATTCAGTCTTGCAACATCGTTTACTCTTTTACCTTACTCCTTTTTTTTCTATTGAAGCCTTACTACATTGGTACTGCCACTTAAAGTCTTAATTTGTAGTTCACGTATGAATTCTTATGAGTTTTGACACATTGTGGAGCTAGTCCATGGGTTTTGCTGTGGTGGATCAGCTCACTCAGCTGATGTGATTCACCTTTGCTGTGAGTTGGCTATGAAAATCTGAAGGATCTCCATCTCCCTTGCTCCCCGGAATGGCTCCCCAGAAAACAGACAGGAGCATCTCAGCCCCCCTCCCACCCAGACTGTTCAATACAGACCCAGAAAAAAAATGGATGATTTTCTGTAGAAGAAACAAATGAGACACTTCACAGCCCAAGATCACTTCAGATTTTTGACAGGACTCAAGGAAGAAATGGGAAACTGGGGTGTTTTCCACTCCAGTTCTCCAGTTCCTCACAGCAGCCAGTGCCAGGCCAGCTACTGCTCCAGCCCCAGCTTGATTCCCCTACCCAAAGCAACAAAACCATCTCATATTACAGTACTCCTCACTGACTTTGGGGACCTCACCTTTTGTTCCTGGGAGACCTGGTTCTCCTTTTGGGCCAGAGGCACCTGGGATGCCTGGACATCCTTGAAGAATGGCGAGTCGGTCAGCATCACTCAGTCCCACTATTCTCACCTCTGAAAAATGAAGACAGCCTTTGTGGAGATTATTAGGGGTCTGAAATGTCTTGGAGAGAAACCAAATCCTTTGAAGTTGAGGAACTTCAATCAAAGCAATGAGTATGGAAGTTTCAGGGTGTTATATGAGTTGACAGATGGCATTGAGAATCTCACATATTAGAGGAGCCAGACTCTGCATCTCTCTGATTTCAGGGGAGTGCAGTGGGAGAGGAAGCTGATGTATATGACATTGCATGCATGACAAATATATTGTAGTTAATAAAACAAAAGCTGAGAGGTGTCCCAATGGGGTATTGATAGCAGAGTAAGTGACACTGATGGATCTATGGACAGTAAGGGTTCTTCTGAATTTCCTGATGGCAGGCCTCTTTGAAATTGCCCCATGGCCTTCCTGAGTAATACAGTCAGAACACTGTGCTGTGCAGCATCCCCAGACTGATCCTTTGTATTGCTCTGTATCCTTTGGTAACTGCACCAAGGCCCTACTAACAAAAAAAAAAAAAACTAACTGGGGAAAAACCATAACAGAGACTGTTCCTAGAGACCCCACTAGTGAGGGAATGATGTTACATCACTAGTTGGAGCCAGCAGCTTTCTAAAGCAGCTGCTGAGACTTGAGATGCCCCTTTACTCTCCTCCCACTAGCAGCTGAATTTAAAAAAGCAGGAAAAGAAGGAAAAAAAAATCATATGTTACTTCTCCCTCTCCTCCCTCCCTTCCCAATCTCCTTCTCTTATCAGGGGAGATGAAATAAGCTGTCTCAGTGAGATGGCAGTAAGATTTGTGCTCTACTCACCTGAGCAGGCGTCCTCAGCATCACAAATAGTCACTCTTAGGCTTAGCAGTACCAAGAGCGCTGGGGCTGCTGTCCCCATGGCCAGCATTGCTCTCTGCACAGCTCCCCTCAGCCACCTCCTGTATTCTGTGATCAGCACTGACCCATCCAAGCATATCTAGCAAACAGCCTCAGTGAAAGCTCCACCTCTGCACTTTCCCACTGGCTGCTCTCAGGTCTGGGACCTGGCTGGGTCTCAAGCTGTTTGCAGATAAGCTACTTCCCAAAAGTCTGATGGGGCAAGTTCTTGCCTGGCTGCCACAGCCTGCCTCACCTCTGTCCTCTGCAAATTTTGGATGCCTTTCCCTTCTTATGCTGTGTTTGTAGAGAAAATGAACCAGCAAAATCCTGAGTAAGTGTAGACAGCTCCCCTCATCCTGTCTGCTAGGATATGGGAGCCCTTTATGAAGTAGACCTTTATGAAGAACAGAACTTAATGTGTAGATGGGGAAACTGAGAGACTAGGAGTCAAAAACCCAAGGTCAGCTGAGGCCAGTGGCAGAGAGGCTACACAGCCTGGCTCACACCCCAGAGCTCTTTCTGCCTGGCAACCCAGCATCACTTCTCAGTCCTTCAGGCTTCCATTTGTACATGATTCATGAATGACAGGGTTCAAACTCAGGCAAGGGTAAGTAGACAGAGCATGTTTGACTTTTTTTTTTTCACCCTCAACTGTTCATGGTACTAGTGAGTAGAATTTCTGGTTTCTTTCACCGTGTGCTTTGCTCATTTGTGGCAGCATGACTAGAGGTCTAATCTGCTTCATCAAGTTGGAGCCCCACATTATTTTCAGACCCAGAGCCTGTAAAGTTTATGAATTTTAGTAGAGGACAGAACTTAAGTTTTTCTGCCTTATTTTTACATCCCAGTTCAGAGGAGACTGATGTCTTGGAGATTTTCACCAGGATATCAGAGGCAGAACACAGCTCCCCCTCAAGCACTTCTATCATAAGGTGCCTCTAACAGTCCAGCTTCCAATGATACATGACAGTTTAATATTAAGCAAATGGAAGAAGGTGAGGAAGAGGTAAGTATTTGATTGTCACTTAAATTCTGTGTCCCCCATATAACCCAGACATACACTCATATGCATACTCTTATTCATACATGTAATAATATAAAATTATAACTCAGTAGATGTTGCAGTCATTTTAATTAATAAGAAGCAATTTTGGCAGGGAAATGCACACCTCACTTGCCTTCTCCCATCTGGAAAAATTGCTGGAAAATGGTAATTGTGACAAGATGGGCTGCATTCAAACTTGAGTTTTGCTTTGCATGGGGAAAAGCATCTCACTTGTGGTAACTGCTGTGTTGCAATTCTTGGGGCAAAATGAGATCAGGTCCTTTCTTCTCTCAGGAGAAAGCCTCCCAGAAGGAAAGAGAAAAATGATTGGCAGGTGCTAGGGAGGGAGAGATCCATGCAGGGCAGCTCTAGGGTGGCTGGGAACAGTACACCTCTCTTCTCATCTGTACAACCTGTGCTGTCCATCTGCAATGGACTGGTGTCTGTACCATGGGGCAGGTGGAGGTGATGTAGAGCCAGCCCCCTGCACTGAGAAGTCTTCTCCTGCCCAGTGCCTCTTCTTCTCTCTTTGTGTAAACAACTGCAATATCTGGTTTCAGCTGGGCAAAAGCTGCTGCCTTCATATTCCCCTTTTGTAAATGACTTCAAAAAGCAAAGGCCTTGCAGATTACCCCATAGTTACAGTCTCTCTAGGACTCCAGGCTAGATCTGTCCTGACAGATGTAAAAATAAATAAAAAAGGTTTGCCCAGCTTTTTCCAGGTACTCCATTAGCAGGATCCAGCTCCGGGTTGGACTGAAAATGCATGTTATGGGAGCAGCTATGATGTATCTGCCCAGCACTGATGCATCCCCTAAGAGTTACCAGCTGTGAGCTCCATCCAGCCTGGAGGTCATCAATATCTCCCCAGCTTCATCTGGGAAAGCAGCAGTGTCCTTGTTGATGCAGCTACTTTTGGGAGCATGGAGGAAACTGCCAATGAACAAGCTTATTCCAAAGCAGGTCAGACGCCCTCGGGTAGATTTTGAAATTGGCGCAGAGATCAATATGTCCTTAATTGCTTTTCCTCATCCCAGAACCCAGTGAAGGTTGCAGAGGGCTGGTTAGGCTTGAAAGTTGTGCTGGTTTCGCATATATGACATTTGGTGAGGAGGGAAGAAGCCACCCATGGAAATTATTTTTCTGAGAGGAGCTGCTGAGAGCTTCTTCTGTGTCTGACAAAAAACAATGAGTGATTGGTTTTGAGAGGAATGTCGAATTTGTCTTTACAAATGAGCTGTGGATCAGCCTGTAGATAAGGCTAGCACTGAGAGATAAAAGAAACAACGGGATGGATTCCACGGATTGATGAATGGAAAAAGATATTTGCCTTTACAAACAAACTGCAGGGCTGCTGATAAATGAAATTGGATATCGAAAGATGAAAGAAGCAACAGGGAAAAACTATGAATTATGTAAGAATTAAAAATTAAAAGGGAGGGTTCTACATTAGAGGGGAATTTCAGGTATCAGGCGTTCCGGGAAGTCTGTGCCTCTCAAGTACCTCAGCCAATGGGGAAAGAGAGAGG